TGGAAATCAATATGGTGCTTTCTTAGAAAATTGGGAATCAATCTCCCCCAAGATCCAGCTATACTACTCTTGGGCATACACCCAAGGAATGCTCAATCATACCACAAGGGCACTTGCTCAGCTATGTTCATATCAGCATTGTTTGTAATAGCCAGAACCTGGAAACAACCTAGATGCCCTTCAACTGAAGAATGGATAAATAAAATGTGGTACATATACACAATGGAATACTCCTCAGCAGAGAAAAACAATGACATCATGAGGTTTGCAGGCAAATGGATGGATCTAGAAAAAATCATCCTCAGTGAGGTAATCCAGACTCAGAAAGACAAACATGGTATGTACTCACTCATAGGAGGATACTAGATGTGGAACAAGGATGACTGGACTGCTACTCACAACACCTGGGAGGCTACCTGGAAAACAGGACACCAAGAAAGACATGGGGATCGCCCAATGACAGAGAAATGGATGAGATCTATATGAACAGCCTGGACGTGAGTGGGAGTAATGAAGATATATTCTTACTACCACATTAGCCAACACTCTTTTAGTTGGCCTCCCATACCTTAGAACACTTCCCATCATTGTTATTTTTGTTATTCATTGAAATTAAAAACACTATTACATAGAATTTGCCTTTGAGCTTTTAAAACATCTGCACTATAATTACAGAGTAATACTATATATAACATTATTCATGTTTTGATGAAGAAATCAGTAAGAAAGAAATAAATCAAGATATCAAGATACATAATAGGAAGAAAAATATATTTCTGAAAAAAAGAAAATACATGATAAACGACTATTTTATACAGTATTGAAACTCTATGAAGGACATCATTATCATCCAATACTATCATGAGTAAATATATAGAATGATGAGGAATTTAATGGATATAGTGTAGCAGTATTTTTTTGTTATCATAATATCCCATGAGAATAATTCATGGAGGAAGAAAGGGTTTATTTCAGCTTGCAGTTACAGGAGAGCCCATAAAACATGGTACTTTGTAGTAGTAATAGAAAAGTCATTAAGACTGATGTTTGCTGTGGGATGTTCTGTATGGCAAATGTGTTGCTAATTAGTCAATAAATAAAACACTGATTGGCCATTGGCTAGGCAGGAAGTGTAGGCGGGACAAGGAGGAGAATAAGGCTGGGAAGTGGAAGGCTGAGTCAGAGAGACACTGCCAGCCGCCACGATGACAAACAACATGTAAAGATGCCGGTAAGCCACAAGCCACGTGGCAAGGTATAGATGAATAGAAATGGATTAATTTAAGCTGTAAGAACAGTTAGCAAGAAGCCTGCCACAGCCATATAGTTTGTAACCAATATAAGTCTCTGTGTTTACTTGGTCGGGTCTGAGTGGCTGTGGGACTGGCAGGTGAGAGAGATTTGTCCTGACTGGGCCAGGCAGGAAAACTCCAGCTACAAATGGCGTCCAACTTGGTGGCAAGAGTTTCCCCCTAAAACCTGAGAAAAGATTCTAAAACGGAGCTAAAAACAGTTCCTAATTGTCTCTCTCAAATGAGCAGCAGCTGCTGGTTTGAGCTACTTGTGGGATCCTATCGTGTGCACTTGACCTGCAGTATGGCGGGAATGAGGCCTCTGCAAGTGGCACATTAAGCTGCATGGTGGATTTAGACTTTGCTAGTACCAAACAAAAAAAAGAGGTTTCTGGACTACATGCTGCTTGGCTAAAAGCATAGACTCACGATAGCTCCCAGAGCTGGTGGAAAAGGTAACACCGCCATGTTGGGAAGCTAAGGTGGGTGGAGCCAGCAGCCACAGCTGCTGCAGTTTAAAGCGATAGATTCACAATAAGACAGATTCAGGTGTTATAGTTTACAATGTGTGTAAAAATGTATGTAGGCTTGAAAGAGAAAGAAAAAGGAATATATACAGTTATATAAAGATATAATTATTTTTTTAAAATAAAGTCTTTAAAGAGACAATAAAGGTAGTATAAAAAATAAGTCACGTAAAAATGGATATTACACAGAGAATCTGGATTGTGTTGTCTTTGGGATTTTTAACTGTAGAAAAACATTTGATTGTAAAAGCTGTTGAGTTATGTCAAAATGTATACTTTAAAGGTACCTTGACTTCAAAATTTGGATATAAGGATATGCTGCTCTGGAAAAGAGACTCTACTTTTGTTTCCACAGAAAGCCAGAGGCTTTGGATTTGTTCCAGATTAAGATACATCAGGTTTAACCAGCCAAGACCCCCTGAAAGGTCTCCGATGACACCATGGCCCAGATGATCCAACATCCAGAATGGTTTCAAGGCAACTGGCTCAGAGGATACAGCCTCACGGACTACTCCATGATCCTAAAATTTTCTTTGTGTCCCCATAAGATACAGCGCCCCCCTCCAGCAGGAAGTAGTAAGAGAAGCTACGCCCAAATTCCCAAGTTATATGTAATTTTACTTTGTTAAGGTTAAAACCTTCCTTTTTGACAAAAAAAATGGGGGAAGTGCTGTGGGATGTTCTGTATGGCAAATGTGTTGCTAATTAGTCAATAAATAAATCACTGATTGGCCATTGGCTAGGCAGGAAGTGTAGGCAGGACAAGGAGGAGAATAAAGCTGGGAAGTGAAAGGTTGAGTCAGAGAGACACTGCCAGCCACCACGATGATAAACAGCATGTAAAGATGCCGGTAAGCCACGAGCCACGTGGCAAGGTATAGATGAATAGAAATGGATTAATTTAAGCTGTAAGAACAGTTAGCAAGAAGCCTGCCACAGCCATATAGTTTGTAACCAATATAAGTCTCTGTGTTTACTTGGTCGGGTCTGAGTGGCTGTGGGACTGGCAGGTGAGAGAGATTTGTCCTGACTGTGGCCCAGGCAGGAAAACTCCAGCTACAGATGTTGACACCAGTAAATGGACTACTGCTGCAACAGACCTGACTATGATGTATCTTGGAGGAATGTGGAAGCCCTTGGCATTTTGCACTAGGAAAGCACTTGAACATTGTAAGTGGCATTTAATGAACCATCCTAGTAGGAGCCTAGAAGACAGTGTTGAGAGAAACAGACTGTGGAGGCCCAGCTCAAAAGATTTCAGAGGGAAGAATATTAGTAACTAGGCTAGAAACTCTTCTTATGATATTTTGGCAAAGCCTGTAGCTGTTTTCTGTCTTTGTCATAAAAATTTGTGTGATGGTGAATTAAAAAGCAATGAACTAAGTTCTGTTGTGGAAGGCATTTCAAGATAGCCTAATATCGACTCTGTGATATGTTTATTAGTAATCACTCATGCAGTTATCCAATGAAAAAGAGCAACCAGAACAAAAAGAAGTACAAAATGTACTTTTTGGAGAGAAAAAAAGAGCACCAAGCATTTTTTTTTAAATGTTGGAGCATGGCTCAGCCATATCTGAATGGAATGGCAGAAGTCATAAAGCCGGCATAGCTGCTTGACAAAGGTCCAGCAGAGATGAGCCACATGATGGCTGCCATGATGCCTTTGGTTTTCATTTCTACCTGTTGCATACTTGAGGGACTTTTAGTATTTCTACAATTTGGGGATATTGGATTGATGGAAACTTCCTTATAAATCATTTATGCCTCCTCCCAGGAATGCTGCTTCTAAGTTCCCCCAGGACAGTCCTGAACAAAGTATTCCCCCTGCTTTTAGGGAAATATCCTTATGTACTTGAAGGTCTTCCTTATACCTTGGAGGTTGTGACACATAAAGAAGCCAGAGGTCTCTTCATGAGGCTATGAGACATTCTTGATACATCTGTCCATGTACTTACACAGGAAGAAGGTATTCAAATCAAAGTAAATTCAAAAAGGCCAACAAGATTCGGTGGGTTAGAGGAGCTGGCCAGTTCAGATTACAAGCTTCTTCCCACTGTACACTCAGACAATTACATGGCATACAACTCTGCCCTACATAGAGACATATTGATGAGCAAAGTATGGAGTGGAAAGATGATAAAAGAATGAGATGTCAGGACCTCCCTCTCTTAGAAAAGTTAGCTCATGCAGAGTCACTATGGTGACATATGAAGAAAGAACAACAGAATGCCAGGGTTAGACATTTAGACAAATTTTATAAAGACATAAATGTGAACATTGTATTATGCCAGAATTTGAATAATAACTGCATCAGCTTTAGCCTGAGGATTTTTCCTGGGCCCTCTGACCATCAAGAGTTAATAATACACTGCTTGGGACATGACAAAATGCCCAGGGTGGCTTGATGATTTTGTTTTAGTCTAGTGTCCTTGAAGCAACCAAAGCAACCAGCCTGAGAACAGGGTGTCATATGCCTCTAGATTCTTAAAAATTGTGTAATGGGGTTAATGAGTAAGAATGATAACTCTGTTTATTAATGATGTCAAAACTTGAGGGAAAATGATTGGAAATGATAATTCTGTTCTGTCATAGTTTATTAATGATGACTAAAAGATGAGCAAAAGGAAGTAAAACATATGTCCAAAACCAAAAATGATATTATATATGTTTTGGAACATCATGAATGTATCTCTGCTTGCTAAATTCTATATAAATAAAAAAAAACATTCTGGCAGCTATTCAGTCAGGCTGCAAGATTCTCCTGACTACCATGGCCTGGCTCACTTTCCTCCCCCATTGACTCCTTACATCTTCTGTCTCACTAGGGATGACTCCTATATGCTTCCTCTCTGTCCATCTCTCCCAAAATGAAACTAAGAAGTATACCGTAAATGATTTCTCCATTGCAAACTAAGAAGTATCCTGTGTCTAATTCCTCCATCACTGCTCTTGCATCCACCCATCTTCAGACCCTGCTGTCATCTGGAGCTGGATTCTATCTGGAGCCCTTCCTTGTGCTATAAGAGATAATGAAATTAAGGAGAGGCATAACCCAAAGTGGATTAAAGTGTGGGGTGCTTTCTGGGCAAGACTCCACCCAGATAACTTAACACTTGTGAAACTTAGACAGGAGGGATTTTTCTGTCCCTAAGAGCCAGCAACAAAAGAAAGTTACGAGCAGCGGCGCCGGGTCCTGGGTGCAGGTGTCCCCCGCGGCGCGGTGTCTCGGAGCAGCGGCTGCTCTCCCTCCAGCGTCAGGACGAGTCCCGTGCGTGTGCGTCCGCGGAGATCTTTCTCATCTCGCTCGGCTGCGGGCACTCGGGCTGAAGCGACTGAGTCCGAGATGGAGAAAACTTTAGAAACTGTTCCTTTGGAGAGGAAAAAGAGAGAAAAGGAACAGTTCCGTAAACTCTTTATTGGTGGCTTGAGCTTTGAAACCACAGAAGAAAGTTTGAGAAGCTACTACGAGCAATGGGGAAAGCTCACAGACTGTGTGGTTATGAGAGATCCTGCAAGCAAGAGATCAAGAGGATTTGGTTTTGTAACTTTCTCTTCTATGGCCGAGGTTGATGCTGCCATGACTGCAAGGCCTCATTCCATTGATGGCAGGGTAGTTGAGCCAAAACGTGCTGTAGCAAGAGAGGAGTCTGGAAAGCCAGGTGCCCATGTGACTGTGAAGAAGCTGTTTGTTGGTGGAATTAAAGAAGATACTGAGGAACACCACCTTAGAGATTATTTCGAAGAATATGGAAAAATTGATACTATTGAAATAATTACTGATAGGCAGTCTGGGAAGAAAAGAGGCTTTGGCTTTGTTACTTTTGATGACCATGATCCTGTGGATAAAATTGTATTGCAAAAATATCACACCATCAATGGTCACAATGCAGAAGTTAGAAAGGCATTGTCTAGACAAGAAATGCAGGAAGTCCAAAGTTCAAGGAGTGGAAGAGGAGGAAACTTTGGTTTCGGGGATTCTCGTGGTGGCGGCGGCAATTTTGGACCAGGACCAGGAAGCAACTTTAGGGGGGGATCTGATGGATATGGAAGTGGACGTGGATTTGGGGATGGCTATAATGGGTATGGAGGAGGACCCGGAGGTGGCAATTTTGGAGGTAGCCCTGGTTATGGAGGAGGAAGAGGAGGATATGGTGGTGGAGGACCTGGATATGGCAACCAGGGTGGGGGCTACGGAGGTGGTTATGACAACTATGGAGGAGGAAATTATGGAAGTGGAAATTACAATGATTTTGGAAATTATAACCAGCAACCTTCTAACTATGGCCCAATGAAGAGTGGAAACTTTGGTGGTAGCAGGAACATGGGAGGACCATATGGTGGAGGAAACTATGGTCCTGGAGGAAGTGGAGGAAGTGGGGGCTATGGTGGGAGGAGCCGATACTGAGCTTCTTCCTACTTACCATGGGCTTCACTGTATAAATAGGAGAGGATGAGAGCCCAGAGGTAACAGAACAGCTTCAGGTTATCGAAATAACAATGTTAAGGAAACTCTTATCTCAGTCATGCATAAATATGCAGTGATATGGCAGAAGACACCAGAGCAGATGCAGAAAGCCATTTTGTGAATGGATTGGATTATTTAATAACATTACCTTACTGTGGAGGAAGGATTGTAAAAAAATGCCTTTGAGACAGTTTCTTAGCTTTTTAATTGTTGTTTCTTTCTAGTGGTCTTTGTAAGAGTGTAGAAGCATTCCTTCTTTGATAATGTTAAATTTGTAAGTTTCAGGTGACATGTGAAACCTTTTTTAAGATTTTTCTCAAAAGTTTTGAAAAGCTATTAGCCAGGATCATGGTGTAATAAAACATAACGTTTTTCCTTTAAAAATTTAAGTGCGTGTGTAGAGTTAAGAAGCTGTTGTACATTTATGATTTAATAAAATAATTCTAAAGGAAAAAAAAAAAGAAAGTTACACCAAATGTGATTAAAGGAGAGCCAGGTTCCATTCCTAGCTGGCGCACAAACACAGTAATATTATGTACATGGTTCTGGCTTTAGAGTCATGAAAGCTATAGCAGATAAAGGGATTATGGAATCTTATTCAATGGTAAAGGTGGGTTTTGATTTTCTCTGGGCCCCCTCCTTGGGCTGCTGCCACAATGTCATCTAAATCGTCATTATCAGCAGATTTGGTGAATCAATTGGGATTTCTTAAAGGGAGGAATTAGTTAAAAGAAAGCTTTTTCCCACATTAAGAAATGGGAAACATTTTTACAATGGAGGAAGTTTGGTCTCTGTTTGATAATACTATTGATGTTCTGAAAATGGATCAATTAAATGAGAGGATAATTAATGTTGATAGGTATGGTGATATATTATGTACCCTAATAAACTTATCTGGGGATCAGAGGACAGAGCCAGCCACTAGATTAGGCATAGAGACCAGACAGTGGTGATACATACCCTTAATCCTATCACTTGGGAAGCAGAGATCATTCTGGACCTCTGTGAGTTCAAGGCCACATTGGAAACAGACCCAGGCAGTGTTGGCACATACCTTTAATCCCAGTACTAGGAAGCACACACACCTTTAATCTCAGGAAGTGATGTCAGGGCATTGAAAGATATATAAGGCATGAGGAAACAGGAACACTCACTCTTGAGGCTAAGGATTTCATAGAGATAAGAATATGAGCCGGACAGTGGTGGTGTACGCCTTTAATCCCAGCACTCAGGAGGCAGAGCCAGGAGGATCTCTGTGAGTTCGAGGCCAGCCTGGGCTACCAAGTGAGTTCCAGGAAAGGCACAAAGCTACACAGGGAAACCCTGTCTTGAAAAACAACAGCAAAAAAAGAATATGGCTGTCTTGTTCTATTTCTCTGATCTTTCAGCTTTCACCCCAATATCTGGCTCTAGGTTTTTTATTAATAAGACCATTTAGCAATTCATGTTACATATATATTTATGTAATGTCAATTATAAATATCATTTGTTTGATCATTTCTGTTCTATATTTTAAAAAGTTGGTTAATATGAGTGCCAAGGTAAAAGTTTTAGAAAAACTTGTTAAAATAGATCATAGAGAGATTCAGTCCCAAAAAGAAGAATATAAAGAAGAACCAATCTCAACAACCTTAGACTAATGTCATCAGGAGGTAAATGTTCAGCTTTTAGGGATTGGAACATTATCCCTAGTGAAACAGAGCATGAGCTGTGTCAAATGTATAGAGCCAGAAGAAGAGAGAAGAGAATTAAAGCCATATGTGTCTAATATAGCTATGAATCTATGGGGCTATGATTTGTTACAGCAATGGAATAACATTCCTCCAATCTCAGAAATAAACCATACACTAACACGCTTCTGGAAAAAAATATTAGAAGGTATTAATAAGAACAGTCACCAACCATTCAGATTGCACAAGAACAGGGAATTACAGCTGCTGATCTTTCAAAGACACCAACAGCCCTATCTTTAAAATGGTTAACAGACGCTGGGCGGTGGTGGCGCATGCCTTTAATCCCAGCACTTGGGAGGCAGAGCCAGGCCAATCTCTGTGAGTTCGAGGCCAGCCTGGGCTACCAAGTGAGTTCCAGGAAAAGGCGCAAAGCTACACAGAGAAACCCTGTCTCGAAAAACCAAAAAAAAAAAAAAAATGGTTAACAGACAAGCCTATATGGATTCAGCAATGGCCTTTAACAATAGAGAAACTTCAAGCCTTAAAACAACTGGTACAAAAACAGTTAAATACTCAGCATATTGAAGAATCAACCAGCTCTTGGAATTCTCCTGTATTTGTTATTAAAAAAAAATCAGGTAAGTGGAAAATGGTAACAGATTTAAGAGCTATTAACAAGGTACTTCAGCCAATGGGCTCTCTACAATCTAGAATTTCTTTGCCTTCTCTGTTACCTAAAGGATGACCTCTTATAGTTATTGATTTAAAAGATTCTTTCTTCTCAATACCCTTACAAGAAAAAGACAGAGAAAGATTTTCCTTCATGGTGCCTACTTATAATAATTCTCAGCCTGTTAAGAGATATCAATGGAAGGTTCTTCCAGAAGGAATGGTAAATAGCCCAACCCTGTGCCAATATTTTATATGACAGCCATTGGAAGTAATACATAAACAGTTTCCTCAATCTATAATTTATCATTACATGGACAACATTTTACTAGCTGATTCAAATGCAGATACCTTAGAAAGAATGTTTGAAGAAGTAAAGAAAATTTTGCCTTGTTGGGGATTACAAATTGCTCCTGAAAAAAAACACAAAGAGGTGATTCTATTAATTATTTATGATATAAAATAGGTCTACAAAAATTAGACCCCAAAAGGTACAAATTAGAAAAGATCAATTATGAACTCTTAATGACTTTGAAAGATTATTAGGAGACATTTCCAATCTACAGACCATTATTGGGGTTAAAAAATATGAACTGATTAATTTGTTCAAAACCTTAGAGCGTGACAAGGAGTTAAATGGTCCAAGAAAAATTATCAGCTGAATCTGAGAGAGAATTTACTTTGGTGGATGTATATGTGGATTGTTTGGATCCAAAGCTTGATTGCATTTTTGTTATTTTACCATCTAAGCATTTCTTTACAAGAATTTTAATTCAGAGGGAAGATATTATATTGGAAAGGATATTTCTACCAAATACACAAAGTGAAAAATTAAAAAAGTATGTGGGAAATATCTCTGAGTTGTTTTTAAAAGGAAAAGTGCGACTTCATCAATTATCAGGAATAGACCCAGCAGAAATTGTATTGCCTTTAAGTAATGATGAAATTAACAAATTATGGACAGAAATTGAACCTTGGAAAAGAGGTTGTAATAGTTTTTTGGGAGAGATTAACAACAAGTATCCCAAAGGCAATAGAATTAAACTTATAATGAGAACTAGCTGGATCTTGCCTCACATTGTATGTGAAACACCAATATCTGGAGCCCCTACATTTTATATGGATGCAAACAAACAAGGAAAGGCAGGTTACAAATCAGAAAATTTAAGTAAAGTGATTCGAAGTCCTTATAATTCTATCTAAATAATCAGAATTATATGCCATTCTGATGATATTAATGGATTTTATGGAAACTCTCAGCATAGTTACTGATTCTCAGTATGCTGAAAGAGTGGTCTTACACATTGAAATTGATGAATTTATCCCTGATGAGTCAGAATTAACTTTGTTATTTATTCAGTTAAAAGAAATAATCAGGAATAGGAATCATCCCTTATGGATAATACAAATCCAATTCCAAATGGGTCTGCCAGGCCCTCTAGCACAAGGTAATGATGAGATTGACCAACTATTGATAGAAAATGTGCTGGAGGCCTCAGAATTTCATTTAAAAAATCATGTCAATAGTAAGGGTTTAAAAAGGGATTTTTCCATGTCCTGGCAAGAAGCCAAGGAAATTATAAGGAAATGTCTTACTTGTTCTTTATACAATCAAACTCCACTACCAGCAGGATGTAACCCAAAGGGTACTCAGAGGAATGAAATCTGACATATGAATGTCTTTCATTTAGCAGAATTTGGAAAATTAAATATGTACACCACACCATTGATACCTATTCAGGATTTCAATAGGCAACTGCTCTGTGTCCTGAAAAGACTGATTCTGTAATCACATATTTGTTAGAAATTATGGCCATCATGGGTATACCCGTACAAATTAAGACTATCAATGCTCCAGCATAAGTCTCTCATAAAATGAAATAGTTTTTTGCTTATTACAATATAAAGCATATAACAGATACATCACACAATCCTACAGGCCAAGAAGTCATAGAAAGATCACATTGAACTCTAAAGCATATGCTAAATAAACAAAAAAGGCTAACAAAACCCCCCAGAAATAGACTACATAATGCTTTAATAGCTTTGAATTTTTCCAATGCTAATGAGAGAGGAACATCAGCTGGGATAGACATTGGGTAATAGAAAAAAAAAACTACAGAATTAAATCAGCCTGTATACTTTGAGGATGTGCTGACCTCAGAATGGAAAGCAGGATATGTGTTTCATTGGGGATGAGGTTTTGCTTTTGTTTCCACTGGAAAAGAAAAGCTATGGATACCATCAAAATTGGTAAAGGTTTGCTTTCATCAGAAGAGACCTCCTAATTAGAAGTGGTGATAGCTCATCAACCAGTGTGACCATTCAATTTAAATTAATTTATATGACTAACAAAAGCATTTCATTTGATCAGATAGAACTTGCTAAAAGGGAATCTCCCCAAAGTTAGGGTTGGGGAAAGGTTTTGTTTTTATCTTTCAGGGGAATGAAAGCTAAGGAATCTGAAGACCACTGGACAAGTGAGACATCTGAAGAAAATCATTAAAAAAAATGCCCCACAAAAAAGATTTTCTGCAGTGAACCGTGATCACATGTAACAGCAGCATTGAAGTCTCCAAAAAGATGATGGGACCCCACAATGACAATTCCATCAGGACAATGATAACACCATTACGTTGACAACACCACCCAAAGATCCGCTTTGGACTACAAACTTCTCACAACAATTTCAAGATAGCTAGCTGTGATGATCCAGCCTCATAGACTACTCTAGCCAGGACTTGAGACAAGCCCTGCACTTTTTGGTCATATTCAGGCTTGAGTAGTTGCTGTGAGTTTATGATTGAAAGTGTCCTATCATATCCAGAAGTCATTAGTTTACTACAACCTTCTCTGACTTTCAGCCCTTATTATATTACGTTATTCTCTTAAAAAATAACATAAAGGTAGACAAACTGTGAGACATCTTTTCTTAATGACTGATTGAGAGCATTAAATTGCTATATTTTGAACAATGAAAATTTATAAGGTAAGTCCTATTCTTGTAATTGTTCTGAGTAAGAACAATTTTTACTCTGTAGCACATATCACCAGAATCCAAGCATAATATAATGGCTATGCTGACCTTACAAGGCAGATTTCTGAGTA